TAAATGTTTGAATTTAAAAATCTAGTAACCAAATTTACATTATATCACGTAAGGAAAAAAAAAAAAAATAATAAATATTTATTAAAGAGATAAATTAATAATATTTATCATTTAAATAATAAATAATAAATATTTACATGTAAAAAAATAAATAATAATATATTTAAAAATATAAGTCAGAATTTCAAATAAAGTAAAAGGAGGGATAACTCATTTTTTAAAAAAAGTTTCTAAATATTTAATATATTGATAAGTATCTCCATAAGAATAATCATACCATTTTAATTTTAAAAAAATTGGCAAGTTTGTTAGAGAGATAAATCCGGTTAGACAAATGATTAATTTGTTAAGATATTATATTAATTGTATCATAAAAAATCGGTTAGATAATGTAGATAAAAAAATATAATACTAATTAGTTTGTTAGAAATGTGATAATGAAAACCAAGATAAAATGAAATTTACCCAAAAAAATTGTTTGGAATCTTTTCTTTTAAATGTTTGAATTTATAAATTTAATACCGAAATTCTATTATATCACATAAGGAAAAAATAAATAATAAATGTTTATTAATATATTTAAATATGTAATTTTGAATTTCATATAAAGTAAAAGGTATGCTTATTCAAATTTATTTTTAAAATAAAAGTTATGACAAACATTTATTGATTCTCTTTCAAATATATTAATAAAATAAAAATATAAATCTAAACAAATTTTGAAACAACCAAAAAAATCAGATTGATTGGCATAAAAAAGGAAGTAAAATCGGATTTGAATGCTAAAATCGGAACACCTTACCAAATTGAATGCTAAAAAATTCGATTTGATTGGTTACCTAATTGCATGGGCTGAAAAAATTCAAAAAAAAATTTTACGAATTGAAGAAGCGGGAAAACACTATATTGAAGCGGGAAAACGAAATGATTATTTTCGAATTGTTCAAATAATTTTTCTTCTTCGTATTATATAGTAATAGATATGCGAAAGAAACAAATTCGTGAGGAATAATGGTATGAGAATGTTGAGGTTGATTTTTAGGAGATCTAGAATGTTTTGTTGGTGTATCTATATTTATTTAACTAAGTATTAATTATTGATTAAAAATATAAAATATGATGAGTATTAATGCATTACTAATTTGCCATTAAAAATAAGTCAAAATAAGAGTTTTTTAGGTAGTTCATTTGTTAATTAAACATATAAAATAAGATGAATATTACAGTATTACTAATTTGCCATTAAAAATATGTCAACGTAAGAGTTTTTTAGGCAGATCATTATTTTTACAAAATCACTCGTCTTTTTATAATAGTATAGATATAGATAAATATAGATATAGATAAATATAGAATAAATAGATAGATAGATAGATAGATAGATAGATAGATAGATATAGATCTATGAAACTTTTGATTCTCTTCGTTAGAATAATCCTAAATTAATGTGCATGACAATGACATATTCATTCAGCGAAAATCCTTAAAGATCAGGTCTTTGTATAGGATTATTATTCGTTCATTGAATTTTTTTCTAACCATGCGGCGACCTAAGACTTTCAATGTGAGAAACACCCCAAAATGTGAAACTTCATCATTGCCGACATTAGCAATTGAGTTATTTTATTACTCTTAGCCTTTTATTTTATTACTCTTAGCCTTTTGTATCAATTAAGTGATATGGTAAATCTCGTAGATTAGGTCCTTTGATTTATTTTCTTTCTTTCATCTTTTTTGACTTGTATAAATATCTTGTAATCTTCATTGAGTTATACAACAATTCAAACGTAACAACATTCTCTCTACTTTTACATGGTACAGAGCAGATTTTATTAAAACTCTAACCTAAGCTGCTGCCCTCCTCTCTCTTTTTTCGGCCATGGCTAACTCCTTGGATGCTAACTCTCTATACTATGTGCATCCATCTGATCACCCCGGTCTTGTTTTTGTCATCCATCCTTTGTCTGACAATGGTGATAATTACTTTACCTGGAAGACATATTTCCTCAATGCTCTTCGTTCCAAGAACAAGTCAGGCTTCGTGGATGGCTCCATCTCTCCCCCCGATGCGGATTCTCCCGACTACAATAATTGGGTGCGCTGCAATGCCCTGGTCAAATCCTAGCTCGTCAACTCCTTTCATTAAAAATTTTCAACCTATGGCAGCTCACATCGAATCTGCTGTTGATGTTTGGAACGATTTTGCTGAGCGCTTTACTCAAGGTATCGCCCCTCGTATTTATGAATTAAAGCGTCCCACTGGTCTTCTCCAACAACAAAAGACTTCCACCTCTGTTTATTACGGTAATCTTAAGAATGTTTTGAGTGAGTTGCAAAGTCTTCTCCCATCTCCTGTTTGCACTTGTGGTGCTGCTCATAAATTACGGGCTCTTCAAGAAGAACAAAAGGTATTTGATTTCTTCATGGTTCTCGATGACTCCTACAAAATTGTCCGCTCTCAGATTCTCAGTATCAAACCCATGCCCTCCCTCGGTCGGGCCTATGCTGTTGTCGCTCAGGACGAGAAGCAACGCTCTCTAGCTGATAATCGTCATCCTGTTGTTGAGGCCTCCAGTCTTCTTGCCAAAGCCCCTCAACCAAGCCGCGGGGCTACTCGTCGAGATGGTCTTCGCACTAGCCCAAACAAACTTCATTGCACTCATTGTCAGTGCTCCAATCATCTCGTTGAAATTTGTTGGGAGTTGCATGGTTACCTCGCCGGGTGGAAGCCCCACCAGAATGCCACCACCCACGCTGCTCTCGCCGCTCCTGCCCAATACACTGCAGCTTACTCCAACGCTGCATCTCTCTCCGCGACAATGACGACCGCCTCCCTGACCCCGGCCCAGCTGCAACAACTCATTGCCATGATTGGCACCCAACCTCCTACTGGTTCTTCAGCCGCCTCCACTGCACCTCCATCGTCGGCCTCCTCTACTGGTCGTAAGATACCTTGGGCAGTCGATTCCGGCGCCATTGATCACAGTACTCATATGATGCACTCCATAATTAATCCTTGCAGACCCTCTCATCCAATTCACATTCAAATCCTTAATGGAGATCATATTCCTGTCCAAGCTACTGGGAGAATCAAGCTTGGCCCTGACTTATACCTTGAGAATGTTTTTGGAGTTCCACAATTTAAATTTAATCTTATATCTGTCAGCAAATTGACTCGGGATTTGAACTATTTATTCACTTTTGGGCCTGATTTTTGCTTCATACAGGACTTACGCTCGAGGAAGCTGATTGGAGTGGGTAGAGTACGAGATGGATTATATTATTTGGAAGGTGTGGGAACTGGCGATGGTTGGAAGGTTTTGTTGGCACGTAAAGACAACACAGCTGGTTTATGGCACCATCGACTCGGTCACATGCCCATTAGTCGTCTACCTTTAGTTTCTGGAATTTCTATTTCTAGTAATCATTCAGTCTCTTTTTGTGATGCCTGTTATCAGGCCAAACACTAACGATTGCCTTTTCCTAGTAATGTCAATAAATATTTGCACACTTTTGATCTCAATCATTGTGACATTTGGGGTCCTTACCACACCCCCTCTCACTCTAATACTCGTTATTTCCTTACTTTGGTGGATGATTACAATAAAGCAACTTGGGTCTTTCTTATGAAATTCAAATTTGAGACCAAACGCTGTTTGATATTATTCCTTAATTGGGTTCGCAATTAGTTTGGCACTACTGTTACTATTCGCTCAGATAATGGTCTAGAATTTTCTCATGACGACTTGCTGTAATATTATTTTGGAAAAGGAATTGATCGTCAAACTAGTTGTGCCTATGATTTTATTTTCCCTATTTTCTCATGACGACTACTGTTACTATTTGCTTGCATATGATTTTATTTTCCCTATTTTCAGTGTGGTAAATTCAAGATTTTCACCACCTAGGCTCTTCAGTTCCATCTGTTTAATTATAACTGTACAATTGTATAACCCCTTGAACATAAATATTAAAAGTCTAGAGAAGTAAAATAAAAAAAAAGAAGACGAAGAAAGAAAGGAATAACAAGAATAATTCCGTATTCCATTATAACAATAATAATAAATTCACAAGGCATCAATAAACCTTTTTCTCTTGCTGGGACTCAACCTCAAAAACCCCAACTCCAAACCCACCATACAATCATCCTCATCATCCCTCCTCGCCGACCCACCTCGGTTGACCTGGAATATGTCCACTCCAAACAGCCTTACTATCTGATCCGACCCCGATCCCGACCCTAATCCCAATCCCGATCCTGACCCAGCACCGCTAATTTTATGCTTAAAGTCGATGTACAGCTGTCCCTCCGACCTCTGGAAAGCCACAACGTCCCCAGCCCGAATATTCTTCTCCTTCACGAAACAGCTCCAGCCTTTGGTCAACACATAGCTCTGACTACTATTCCAGTACGAGTACCTGAACCGCCACACCCTCCCATCTCCATCCGCGAAATTCAACAGAACCCCTTTACAACTGTTGCTGTTCTCGAGGGGGAAGTGCCTCTCCGCGTGCTCCTTCGGTATGACGAGGCGGTTGAGCTTGCCGACGTCGCTGGGCGTCATCACCTTCTCGAAGAGGTGCTCGCGGGGGCCCGAGGGGACTCGTCGGGGCCGGAGGAACGATCCTCCGTGGCGGCGGCACTGCTCGAGCTCGTCCGTGTACGTGTGCTTGCGGAGCATGTCCACGACCTCGTCCTTGGAGCGGGACGCTAGGAAGCCTTCCTCCACGCGGTCCGCCTGCGTGGTGGGGAAGTTGGTGATGGCGTCGTGGCCGCGGAAGCGCAGGGCAGCGGTGTCGTAGGCGCGGGCGGCCTCGTCCTCGGTTGTGAAAGTGCCGAGCCACACGCGCTGGTGCTTCTCGTAGATCTGGGCGCCCCAGCGCCCGTTGGGCTGCGGGACGACTCCTTTGAAACGGGAAGATGGGAGCTTCCCGGGCACACCGCATAGAGATGGGGAGTCGCTCATTGTGCTCTCGTCGCCGCTGCTAATTACATCCATTTATTTATTTATTTTATTTTTGAATGTATTCTTGTTTTGGCACATAAATTGTATGAGCAAATTACTGAAAGGAAAGGTACAGATGAGATTAGAAATGGAAAAGTGATGAAAAAAGGTTGAGAATTGAGATATTATGAAGACCATTGTTGGGAATGAATTATATATAGATACCTAGGCTGCCATGTTTTTCTTGTGTTTTTCCAATATAAATTATATGATTAATAGTGATAATATGATTTTACTGTTAATTTTAGAATATTTTTTATATGTGTGTTTGAAATGTAACAATAGTAATTAATGGTGCTACTATCTTTAAAGTGGTTATAGATTGTACATATTTTCAAAAGGAAATATTTGGGGAGATAGGAATTGTGGGTGTGGTGGGTCAACACTTGAGATTACAAAAGGTTTATTAAATGCTCCTAATTATATTACATAACTTTAATAAATTTTTAACAATTCGAACTAAACCCAAAGCACATCATTTTATGTTTGAAAGTAGACTCTAATAGGGAGGAATATTAGTAAGCTAGTTATTAACTAGTTGGATTTTCGGTAGTTACACTAGCACGTAGTTATAAACATATATATGATGCAGTATCAATATATTGATAATATTTCAAATATATTTAATATATATATTAGTACATCAGTTGGGAGAAATTAAAATACAGTGTTATCGTCTTTAATAGCACATATATATATGTTGGCAAGACTTATTACCGTTCACCGGAGCCGCCGGAGATGGGGCCTGATTAGGGATCATAGAGGCGCTCTTATTACCGCTTTTTATATCCCTCTTCGGGCCTCTTTGAGCTACGACGTGGAGGTTCAGGCGCTTCAAATCGATCTTCAGATTGCTGCCTCGAACTCCTCTTACATTTGGATAGAATTGGACGCGGCCGTTGTCATCACTCTCTTGACCACTGGTCATCAGAGCACATGGCAGATTCAACATCAGCTCATGCGTATTAGGGCCACACTTTTATCGATTCACTTTCAGATCTCACACATCTTCTGTGTGGGGAACCATCCTGCTGACTTCCATGCAGGCATCGGGTCCTCCACCCCCTAGAGGCGCATGCTTTATCCTGACGATATTCCTCTCCGCCTCCGTACCCTTATACGAATGGACCAGATGGGATACCCTTCATTCAGAATTGTTTAGCCGATCCTACCTTTTGGTGCATCCGCTCTCCCGTGATGCTAACTTTTTGTCTTGACTCTTTCCGGACCAGGAGACGTTATCGTTGTGTTACTGGCAGCTGTTGCCAGCTTTTTCTTGTTTTCTTTTTCGTTTCTGGTTTTGCTTTTCGTTTGACTTGATGTATTTCAGACATTAGACTTGTAGATTTGTGACTTGTCAGCCCATTTAGGGTCTCTTCATATATACAGGTTGGGGGTTCGGCCTAACCCCCCACCCTCCTAGGTGTTTTCTTTTTTCTTTTTAAAGACAATGATATTTACTTGATATAGTAACTAAAAATTAGTAAAAAAATATTTGGTTTCCCGCCAAAAAATTCAAATTTACTAAATTGAGTAATTTTTTGGCAAAATTTTAAAAAATCTCGTCTAAAGTAATGTAATTAATGTACTGAATCATTTTGGTCAAACATTGTGGCTATTATCTTTATTAGTTGCATAATTTAAATTTGGTATATAATATATTGACAAAACTTGCGGCTATTACCTTTATTAGTTGCATGGTTTAAATTAGTATATAATATATTGAAAAAAAAATATAAAAATATTTTTATTTAAAATATAATATCAAAAAAATAATTATTTATAACTTATGGGTCAATATTAACTTGGACGTAAATGAAATAATCAACTATTTATAGTTTAATAAATTACTCAATAACTTAAGGGTCAATGTTAACTTGGACGTAAACGAAATAGTCAATTATTTTTAATAAATTGCTCGTCTGCTTAATTTTTTTTATTTGAATAGTTTATACAAAAATAAATTTATAATAATAAATGAAACAATACAAATTTTATATTTATACTTATTAATCACATAGGTTGTTAAATATATGATAAAATTTTACCAAAATAACTATTTTATGGAATCACATTATAGTCAAATCGAATTTCTGAATAAAAATTTTGAAATGACTTTTATTTTGAAACGAATATAATGTAATTTATTATCAGTTATATTCACTACACGGGTTGCGTATTAATTTTAAATAGACATCTTTATGTAAATTAATTTGCACAATTTCAACTTTATATAACATTTTCAATAAATAAAAATATCGGTAAATTGTATTACATATTGTTCATATTTTTAATTTATAAATATTATTTAATAAGAATATTTAATTTATAAATACTAATGAATATCTTTTACCCGTGCACTGCACGGGATTAATACTAGTTGCAAGAATGGCGAAAGGAAACTAAACAATTGAATATCAACTTACAAATATGTGAAAATAATAAATAAAAATTTCAATCAAATATAAAAATAAATTCCACCTTGCATTAAGTTACGCCCTCGATTAGTTAACTCAATTAGAGAAATGCTACAAGTACATAATATTGTATATAAGGGTGTACATAACACTCACATTGAGTGAGACCAACAAAAAATATAAAATCAAGTGGACATCATTCCATGTGAGTGTACATTTATTATGTACTTGTAGCATTTTTCACTCAATTAATTGAAATAATAAAACCTCCCTATTCTTAAACTAAGAATAAATGATTCAAAACGATATAGAAAGTCTGCTAAAAATTAAGATAAAGAAATAATTATGTTTATAAATGTATAAAATATACAGACCTATTGCCAATTTTATCACACGGAATGAGTGATAAAATTCTCACATCCATTATAACCTATGAGCTCCTCCCTTAAACTTAATGCCATATAAAATAAAAAATATTATATTTTCATGATTTTTTTTTTTAATTATTCTCATGTTAGGAGCAAATAGAAGAACAAGAAAACGATGCGAAATGACGGGGTTCTGTTACACTAATGGTCAATTTAACCCAAAAATCACACGTCATAGATTTTCCATGTCCTATACCAACCCCCGTGCCATGTAGCCCGAAAATAGGGATAATTAATGTGTTATTAAATATTGTTTTTTAAAAGGGCATCTTTTACCCTAATTATTATATACATGAATTTTCTTTTACACTCTCATATAGAAAAACAACTTAATTTTTTATCTTAAACTTACAAAGTGATATGCGATACACCCTTATATGTATTTTTTGTTACACAATTTCTAATACAGGATACCACATGAAATAGACTCAATAAACCAGCCAACCGGGCCAGCAAATCGCTTGGTCGATCAGAGATCCAGACATGTCGAATGGAGATCGAATGAGCTATAGGTTGATAAGGATGTTGCAAGTCCAAAGGAGTACTGACAGGTCGAGCTAGGGTCCTTGGATGACATTGTTGAAACTCGACCTAATTAAATGCATGACTTGTCGATGGATCGACCAAAAGAGCAGAGCATACGAGCTTAGCACAAAAGACACTCTACCTCGCGGTGTATCGAGTCGGTTGTACAATTAGACTGTCTAATAAGGATGATTAATAGATAAGAAGGAAAATTATTAATATAAAAACCACTCGTCGATAGCGTCACGTGGCGTAATAGAATTGAGTTGTTCGGGCTGTATAGATGGACAATTCGGATAGTCTGGGCAGCTCATCCGGGCAGGGACAACTAGGTAACACACTCCTATATAAGGAGTGAGGTATGTACATTCAAAAATTACATTTCACATACATTCTATACTTAGAGAACTATATATATACTATTCTTCATCGACTTCTTCATATGTGGACTAACTTGATCGTCAAAATGTTAACGTCGGGAATTCCTTCCATCCCACTTTACAGGTCTACGAAGAGGTCAAGATGCAGATCAGGTCGTGTGAGCTAGAAAGAGGTATATTACACACCATTTTGGCAACGTCTGTGGGAACTTACGTTCAAAAACCCATCAAATACCATAAGCATAGCAAACGACATTCCCATGAAGAACTTAGAGTCCACAGCCGAGGAGGAGCCGCTGCTGGTCCGGGAGCAGCCACCGCCGAAGAGCACACATAGTCGAAGATCGCCGAGAGAAGCCGAGCACGTGAAGGCCGAGTCTTCATCCATTTCAAAACTGATTTCCTCCCTTGATTGTAGATTCAAGAAGAGAGGTTTAACTCTTATTCCTCCTTTAATTTTTATTCCAAGTTTAATGGAGAGTTTGGATCTCTTTCAAGCTTTGAGAAAAATCAAGTTTGGTGTGTTTTGTGGGAAAATTGATGGAATTGTTAGAACTCTCTTGAAATCCTTGAAACCTTTGTGTAGTGTGCTATTTCCGTCGCTGTTTTTTACCTCCAAAACTCGGTTCAACGGTTTCGAACTCTTCTGGTAATTTAAAGTTCAGTCTCTTATGTTTCTTCTTGAGTAAGAATTAGGTTATCATCAATTTTTTATTAAAAGTTATGGCCAAAGTTCGATGATTGCGCGTGCCATTTTTCTGGTCTTTAGTTATTGTATGTGGTTTGTATTCCTTACAGTTTTTTAACATAGAAAACTTGTCGTCTCTTTCTGAATACTTCATATAAATTGTAGTCCAATTTGTTATCCTTTATAAATTGTAGCCCAATCTGTTAAACTTGTAGCCCAAGCTTGTTGGTCTCTTCGGCGCGGGATGCGGAGGGCGATCCAAGCAGATTCGGCGTAGATCTGGTTGCCGTACTGGAGTGTTGTGCCTTTGGTGTCGCGTTGGGGTCCGTCAGTGGTGCTTCTCGGGGAGTGGCTATGACTCTGATAGCCGATGGTGGTGGTCGGGGTGGAGGCTCCATCTCTTTCTCTCCTGTGCCCCTTTCCCCTGGTGTTTGGGTTAAAGAGGTGGACGACGTCCTCTGTTCTTGGCCGTAGTGTGGGCAATCTTTGGACGGCGGTGGTGTGGGGGGAGTTGGGTCTAAGTTCTCCGGGCTTTAGGGTCGAGGTTGGGGCCGTCCACCTAGGTGCTGGGCCGAGTTTTAGGATTGCGGTTCCAATTAGGCGCTATTGGTAGTTTTTGGAGTGGCATCAGAGCTAGGTCTGGTCGTTGGGGTGGTCGACTGCCATCGGGTGACTTTTGGGCGTGTGTGCCGGTGGGAGGGGTGTGGTTCTAGTTCGTGTAGGCCCTAGTTTGTGTTTAGATTGTTTTGTTTTGTTTGTGTGTTATGTTTTGTTATGATTGTGTTTTCGCTTTTTCTCTCCTGGGGGTGTTTGGTGTATATTGAGAGTTTTATTGTTTTATTTTCCTTTTGGGAGTATTTTTGTTGTGTTTGTTTTGACTCTAGACTGTCGTGTACGTGTAGTCCTGCTTGTTAGAGTCAGCTGTTCAGCTTATTCATCCGTTAGACAACTGTTTTATNATATAAATATATAGATAAATAGAACACACATGAAAGTAGCATAAAACGCCCCCAAACTCTGAAAGAAATTAAAATAAAGAAAACAACAAATTGCTTGCATATTATGATTTTATTTTCCCTTTTTTTCCCGTGGGGTGATTCAAGATTTGACCTAGCTAGGCTCTTCAGTTTCATCTGTTTATAACTGTACAATTTTATAACCCCTGATTGAACATCAATATAAGAAGTCTACAAAAAGAAGAAAACAAAGGAATTCGAACAAAAATAAATCCGTATTAAATTAGTAATAATAACAAAAATAAATTCACAAGGCATCAATAAACCTTTGTCTCTTGCTGGGACTCAACCTCAAAAACCCCAACTCCAAACCCACCATACAATCATCATCATCATCCCTCCTCGCCGACCCACCTCGGTTGACCTGGAATATGTCCACTCCAAACAGCCTTACTACCTGATCCGACCCCGATCCCGATCCTAATCCCAATCCCGATCTCAACCCCGATCCTGACCCAGCACCGCTAATTTTATGCTTAAAGTCGATGTACAGCTGTCCCTCCGACCTCTGGAAAGCCACAACATCCCCAGCCCGAATATTCTTCTCCTTCACGAAACAGCTCCAGCCTTTGGTCAACACATAGCTCTGACTACTATTCCAGTACGAGTACCTGAACCGCCACACCCTCCCATCTCCATCCGCGAAATTCAACAGAACCCCTTTACAACTGTTGCTGTTCTCGAGGGGGAAGTGCCTCTCCGCGTGCTCCTTCGGTATGACGAGGCGGTTGAGCTTGCCGACGTCGCTGGGCGTCATCACCTTCTCGAAGAGGTGCTCGCGGGGGCCCGAGGGGACTCGTCGGGGCGGGAGGAATGATCCTCCGTGGCGGCGGCACTGCTCGAGCTCGTCCGCGTACGTGTGCTTGCGGAGCATGTCCACGACCTCGGCCTTGGAGCGTGACGCCAGGAAGGTCTCCTCCACGGAGTCGACGACGGGCGCGGTGGGGAAGTTGGCGACGGCGTCGCGGCCGCGGAAGCGCAGCGCGGCGGTGTCGTAGACGCGGGCGGCCTCGTCCTCGGTGGTGAAAGTGCCGAGCCACACGCGCTTGTGCCTCTCGTAGATCTGGGCGCCCCAGCGGCCGTTGGGCTGCGGGACGACACCCTTGAAACGGGACGACGGCAGCTTCCGCCCATTTATGATCCCCACAAGGCACAGAGATGGGGAGTCGCTCATCGTGCTCTCGTCGCAGCTGCTTCCATCCATT